TATTGTTCATCTCATGTATGAGGTGGGTTTTACAGAGATCGTTCATTTTTGGAAATTATGATATTAGCCTGATATGAGAGAGCTATAATGCTATCTTATATTTTGCATGTGGGTTCCTTAAGTCTCTAAATTGACAGATATTTTGGATCAGTGAAAAATAACAGATTCTATCTGAAATAGTGTTGCGCATAACAAAACAGCAGAAAAGTCTTTTTCAGGGAAGGCCTTGCATATTTCAGCAGGACATTGCTAAACCGCATACTGCATCTATGACAACAGCATGGCTCCTTCATTCCCAGATGTTTACAGTGTTGTTAAAAGAAGAGGGGATGCTACAATGTGGCAAACACGGCCCTGTCCCAACTTTTTTGATGAGATGTCCTGCTGCCATCAATTCCAAAATTACCTTATTTTATTAAAATGGTAAATGTTTGCTGTTTAAACATTTGATATGTTTTCTAATGTGAATAAAGTTCATGAGAATGAGTTTATGAGATTTGGAAATCATTGCATTCTGTTTTTATGTAGATTTTACACAGGTTCCCAACGTTTTGGGAATTGGGGTTGTAGAATCATTTAGATGTAATAATCACAATCAATGCAGCAACAAGCAAACATCATTTTTACAATCCATACATTGGCAGTAGACACATTTGCTAGATTTATTAAACTCTCATCAGTGGGAAATACTCTGCTTTGAGGCTATTTTCAGTTTAGCATAGAGATATTGATTTCTAAATAACAAAGAAACATTTATTGAATTTAAATGCAAAGAAGAAAACCTATGTATGTCAAGGGCATAACTACAGAGTATTTAGAAGAGAGAGTGTCAAGCACACAAAGACTAGTTGTTATTTATACTTCCAAACTTACTCAGTAAAGCAATGCAAGGATCAATGAAGTACAAAGTGCAGTAAACCATATCACATTCAGAATTCAGCTTACTTTAGTATCCGCATTAAAAGAAAAGCTGCTTGCATACAGGTAAGTCTGATCATTTAGCAACCAATAACCCTCGGATGAGCTTTTATCATGTGCATGCCTACCCACTATTCCATTCATATCAGGAGAGCTCTTTTTTTTAGGAAAAACATTACCTGTGTGCAGTGGTTTAATTCCAATCGGCTACTTTACCGAATAATCCTATGTACATAAATGCCAACATTTTACAATAATATCAAGGGACAAGGAGGCAGATTGGCGGCAGTAATTCAATTTTCCCAAATTTGCCCGGGAAAGTGCAATTACCCTATCATATAGCCATATCGTTTTTTTCCATTATAAACTGGATGTTTAGCCACTTTAGGATTTTGAAATTAAGAAATGTGTCCTAAAAAACATCAGCAAAGTTTAAGATGCATCTCTTACCTTCAGCTCTGCTCACCTTGATTCCGTTATATAGTATGTATGTGTGTTATAGTGTTCCTATTCTATTCAACCTCTTATTAACCCTTAGTTAACAGTAATCAGCCCTAAGTAACTCCTTCCTCCCTTTTACTAATTTTTCAATTTTTTAGCATTAATATTTTTTTTGTTAACTAGTGACTTTATTTTAGTGCCATTTTAAATGAAAAGCCTTATAGAATAAAATGCATATACTTTTTATTTACAGAAAAAAAAATACTTTTCATCAAAGTAACAGGTCAAAAACAAATGTTCCAATTTTTTATGTCTTTTTATTTATAGATTTAATAGAATATACAATATTGCCAAAACAAAGTCAAGTTTTTCCCCAAAAAACATGTATTACTGTGTTATCTTAAGTAATGACAAAATTATTGCCAAATAAACAAGACCATAGTGGAAATGTAAAAATTGCCCTGGTTCAAAAGGGTTATACGGGTGCTCAAAAGTGTCCCTTTCCCCCCACATTGTGAGAGAATATGTGTACAATATATATGGAGTAAATTAGATGGGTAGTCACACTCACAACTAATGGTTACTCTTTGCAATTAAACCTTTAGTGAGATTATTCATAACACATATCTACAATGTATACTATACCCATATAGTACATATTTATGAAAAATGGAAAACATAATAAACAAATCACACAAGTTCAGTAATATAAATAATAATTTTATTAAAGAATTTTCTTTTGTACATTAACACAACATTTGTGTAACCCAATATTTCATTGCAATATTTAAATTGAAAATGTTTAAGTAAAACTTCAGGATATGGATGTCACAATATTACAACCACAGCATGAAGTCCATACACTGACAATGGTGGCACCTTCTCTTTAATTACCTCAATGCGTACTACTAATGAGCGTGATCATATATTTTGAGATTTCCAGTAAGAAAAAAAATATACATTCATAAACGGAGACAACAGTTTTTATAAATGAAGACTATATTTTTTCTTGTTTTTTTGAACTGGGAGAATACTGAAAGTTTCCAAATATTTATTTATACTGGATAACACAGATGTGTAGCTATGAGCTGTGCTACAAAAAAGTGTTTATATCTGGAGGCATTAACACTCTAATACACTCAATTCATATCCTCAACATTTATTATCTGTAACAGCATTTGCATATAATGCAAACTTCTCTTCCTTATATGATATGTTAACATGTGTATGCCTACACAAACTCTGTGTCTGTGTGCATCTGTATATATGGTCTGTGCGCATATACGGTATGTTAGACAATTTTTCTCCTGCACTGCTCAGCTCCTCTGAACAGATCTCATACTGGTGAAGAAGTAATTGTTATGAGGCCAAAGCTGGAAAAGCAGTGTGTGCTCAATTCACTGGCATATAATACATTTGTGAACAGGTTTTTACCAAGATATATACATACGCATACACACACACACACACACACACACACACTCACCCTTGAAAAGGATTAGAAATAAGATTAAGAAGAAGAAAAAAAGTCCCTCTGTATGAATAGGAATACAAAGGAAACTTTTAGGCATGGTTGGTAACAGAAAAAGTGTAACCTGTATGTAACTAAATAGCAAAAATGTACATACAGTATGAAACATTTCAAGTTCTATGATGGGATATTGTTATTTGAATTTGTACTTGTAAAATGAATAATGTCACAAGAGGATTTATTATGCCCAACATAATAAGCACATCATCATTCACATTTGTAAAAGGATATTAAAACATGAAAAAGACATTATCTAGCAAAGCTTTTTTTAATATCATCCACAACAAAGTATGTTCAAATAAGTTCATTCTACACCAAATCAGCAATACATTTCAGAAGTATCTTTTGCAGATTGCTAAAAACTACCCCTGCCAGCTGAGCAGATTTGGGACAGCTTGCAGAACTGAATAGTATAACTGGAGATTAAGCTTAAGAGGAGATTTACAGAATAGACTGTAGGGATCTATTATGCCAATATTTTCTAACATACTACCTGGGAGTCCCTAGTAATTCTGGAGGACTGTATAGAGGGCAGTTACTGTACATCATAATGTTCCCTACTGCCAACAGCTTCCCCAATCATTATGTTATGAATTTGGTTGTCTTTTTTTTTGCTCACACTACAAAGTCAGTGTTTTTTTAGTAGACTATGTCCTCAATATGCAAAGTAACCCCTGCATCACAAGCAGTTACTGCAAGTTATAACACAGATGCTATTGTTATGTTTACTTTTAATTTTCCATGTAGGCCATAGATTTCCTTAGGAAAAGTCTCAGTTTTAAAATGTGGGCACAGCTGTCAATATAGGTTGCATTTTTTTTCAAAATAATCCAAATGCAATCTGCAAGCATACAACCATTACAGGTATTAATTGAATCGGATCAAGTCTCAAACACAGTGGAATTGATATACATTAAATTTTTTTGCTTTTTTGTGTATTTAGGTGAAGAGGTCATCAATACACAGAGACTGACATAGGGCAGGAATAGGTTTTTCTTGCTATTCTATTTTGTTTTCTCTGAACATCTCCTCCCATTCTCTGTTCTCACCTCTAAGCAGAAATCACCATTACGGAAACTTTAGCACGTGTGGATCGGGTGTCACTTTGCTTTGTTACTGCCCATGTCCCACTATATTACACACTTCTACGCAAAGCATGCATTGGGGTTTATTAAGAAAACACACGCAGGTTGAAAAATGGGCAATTTCTGTGCTTTGTGTAGTTATTTTCGAAAAGGTATATTATTTCAATGAACTTCTGTGTACCGTTACTTTTTTTTACTAGATATATATTTAGCAAATTTTTGTATCTGCAAAGTTCAGGAACTTGCCCATTTCCAGCCCACACAAGCATAGTGGTGTAGTGTAGATTGGAGGAATATACCTATGAATTATTTGAAAAGAAAAGGGTGCTTAAGGTTATTCATATCGTCTTCACAGGTGGATTGGCTATAACCTGTGTTTATCTCACATACATTATGTCACCCTATATAAAAAAATGTAAAGCCAGATAACTATCTCATCACAAAACTAGAGAATGTAGCCTATTGTTAATCTGTTAGCTATTATATTTGCAATCCAAAATTAACTTTCAAATAGCAGAACCTAAATATGCAAAAATATTTTACTTTAAATATTACAAATAATCCAGATTTGCTTCCATGCTCTAGGGAGCCTTGCCTAACTTTGGTTTCCTTATTGTAAGAATATTGCTTACAAAAGCAAATTTTTTATTAATCTAACTTTTGTTAAATACAATCTTGGCTATGTCTGTTAAAATTGATGTAGTACTAGTCTATTTGCTAGTACGAAAGTTTAGGCCAGTATCAGTGTAAAGATGAGTACAACACAGCATTTATACAAAATGCACACTGGTAGCACACTAGAATGCATGTGTGTATATAAGCACCAGGTAAAACAAGATGGCTGGATCTTTTCATGATTTCCAACTGTTATCTATTGTCTGTAGATGCTTATACTTTGGGCCCTTTCATGTAAACCACAAAAGAGATACCTATTATAGCTATATATAATATATATATATATATATATATACATATATACATATATACATATATACATACATATACATACATACACACACACTAAAAATAACTTTTACAAAAATCTGTGCATCTGTGCTGTATTTCTGTTAAACATTTCACAGACAGGACAACAGTATTCTTCAAAAAAGGAGGAAAAGAAAGTTAAAAACAAAGTTGTATACAATTTGTACCATTTTAAAACACACAATTAATAAAGCAGAATGGCTACTAAAATGTCTCTGAGATTTAGCTGCCCTCAGCAGATACTAAAATAAGTGATTATAAATGTTGTGCCATGTATACAGTATATCTTCTACAAGGAGTTGACTGCACCACAACAGGTGGCCAAATGTCTTTTGTCTGTAGCTATCCATTAGCCACTGAGGCCCACAAAGAGGTTTTCATGGGATTTGACATCTAGAAGGATAGAGAAAAAAAAAGGTTTACATAATATTTTTTCTTGATGCATATCTAACTAAAACTGTTGGGCACCTATAGGAAGGTAAAACGGAAGCAGTCTGCAGTCAGAAAAAGCTTAAGCTGGTGGTATGGTTGAAACTCCGGACAGAAGTTCAAAAAAAAAATCATTTGTGACAGATATAAAAGAAAAACCCAATCTATTTAAAAAATGTATTTTTAAATGCAAGTACTCCGAGTCCCTGAAGTTGAATTGATATTAGCCTCATGTAATCTCAGTACAACATAACTCAGACTGAGTGAGGGGTAGTGGTCTGGACAGACTCGAATGACAAATCTCCCACTGCTGAATACCCGGAGATTTTCTGAATCTGACTGGATGGAGGCACTGTTGGGCTGGCGTTTTCTGGATTGGCTTCTCCGACAAAAGTCGCCAATTTTGACAAGCAGACGGTGCTGATAGGGCCATCTACAGCTTGAATTTCGGCCAGTTAATTAGAAATATGCCGAGATGGGCTACATGTATTGCCAGCTTAAGACCATTAGCTTACCTGAAAAGATCATAAGCATTGATAGGCCTGAAAATTCTAGCTATAAATGCTACTAATAACACCATATTGCCTTTTTTTTATCATTATGCAAACTACTAAAGAAGAAGATAAACTAACTTTGATTGTCCTCAGTTCTGTGTTTCCTCTCTTTCGTTATTGAGTTGTTTCATCCTTGCCTGGACATCTTCATCTGAAAACAAAACCACAAAAAAGGAATGTCTGTGACATTTGCATTGCACATGCTCCCTATGTTTGGTTAAAATATACAGTTGTGGAAGATACAAAGGAGACCTGCACAGCAGACAATGCTGATTGCAAATGTAAATTTATCAAGAGAAAAATCTCAATGAATATCTAAATCTTCATCATCCTCTACCCCCCCCCCCCCCCTTCCTTCTCTCCCCTTCTTTCTTTCCCCTTGGTCTCCGTGTGTCTTTGTGCCCCTCTGTTGTCCACGTGTCTTGTCTTGTTGTGAGTCAATTGTTATGTTGTTTTTGCAAGGCGGCTCTAGGTGGGGCAAGTTACCTGATGGTTAGGGAATCAGGGCTTTCGCAGGATTTCTTGTTTCTAACCTGATGCTAAAGACCCAGTTCCTCGCCCGCCTCAATAGCGTTGACCCCACTCGGGGGGAGGGGCTTTAGCAGTCTGAGACCCTCATGGCAGGGACAAGACTTTGGGCGGAGGCACGGCTCGAATCTGGGCACAATGTCATATACATTGCTGATACGGTTGTTATTATTTACAGCTATGCTATTATTCTCAAGGATGCTCACCTGACGCTGCCTTTGTATGTTTTAATTTTCTGTCTGTCTGTGAAAAACTCAATAAACATTATTTCTGTAAAAAAGAATATCTATAGCTTCAGGTAAAGTGCTATGTAGGGAATCCATTCTAAGTTTCAGTTTACTGTCGGTAGCCATTAGTTAAGGGCCCATTCACACTATTGCACAAGCTAAAATGCTGCGCTTTTGTGTGCGGGCACATCACACTGTTTTGGTTTCTTTTTTTAAATTTATTGAGAGTGCACATAGTGTACACTACATTCAGGTCTCCGCACAGCAGCAATTAACCTACCAGTATATTTCAGAATATGGTTTACTTAGTGCTAAACATTTAGCCACCATTACAACCACTGACGGAACAATCCCCACAGCGATCTAGGTGGCCGCTATGGGGCCTGGGACACAGGGGGGCCTGGCCAGGACGAGGAACAAAGGGGTCCCCCTGATGCCGTGCGGGCCGCCTGGGTCGCTATGGCATGTCAGGCTGCTGGCTGTCACTGGCGGCTGTGAGAAGGAATGTGCCGCTGTTCAGATCACCGACAACCTGTCAGTGATCTGTGCAGCGGAGTCTGTGTCAGCCAGCAGCTGTGGAGGAGGAGGCTGGGCTCGGCATCGGTAGCAGAGAGGCGGGGCCCGGCGGTGGAAATGGCTGACAGCAGATTAGGGGTGACCGATAAGGTGTGCAGAGGTGTGACCAGCCCGCCAGAGACCCCTCAGAGCCCACCATAGAGAGCCTATGGTGGGCTCTGCAGGTTCACTCTCAGGTGGCCTCTGCAACGGGCGTAACTAGAAATCACAGGGCCCCATACAAAAATTTGCTATTGGGCCCTGTGATTTCTAGTTACGCCCCTGATTACAACCATGACGCACTTAGCCACCATTACAACCATGATGGTATTCTTATAGCTGCAAGAAAGGCTTTTGTTACTACATGCATAGAAATTTTACCGTAAAATGTATATAAAAGTGAAGACACGGTTAACAAATTTACCACAGGAATGTCCTTCAACATCATCCAATAGATTGGCTGTGGAGGCTGCAGTTCCTAACCTGCACTTTAAGTTAAGGATACAACATTTAAGAGCACTTCTCTAAAAAAAAATGTCCTAACAATCACACCTTAGAGGGCTCTCACACAGCAAAAATGCCATTTTACTTGTAAATGTTTTATAACTGATAATGCATTATTCAGTGATGAAAAACAAATTCTTGGTTAAAAAAGAAAAGGATTGGCTAAATGTCCATGTATATTTTATGCAATCCATACTTTCATACTTTTTTAAAATTTAAAACAAAATATTTTTTTCCACGATTGCCCCTAAATATTTCTAAAGAAAAACATTTGTGTTTTTTTAACATTTATTCCACTGAAAAAGGTGCACAGTGATCACAGTATGATCCAGTGCCCTAAGCATTATACAAGCAAGCCCTGCATCTTTTCGTTCGGCAGGGTCCAGGTAATGTCCACAAGGGCTCTGCCAAGGAAAAAACAGCATTTAGGGAATCTTGCTAAGAGTCTTCAATAGAAAACTACAGAAAAGAAAGGATGCATTCCTCTGAAAGCAGAGAATAGGCATCCATCCCCTAAGGACACTTAACAAAAACTTTGGCTCATGGCCGTGGTGGAAAGTCTCGACATACTGATTTATCTTGGTCTGATTTTTTTTGCATCTCAAAAACCTTGCATTTTTACAACCTGTTTTTGTGTGTGTAATTTATATATTTATATATATATACATACACACACATATACACCGGTTTAAAAAAAAATGTATTATTATTTTTTAACACATACACAATACATTTCTAAAGCCCATTCACACCTGAATGGGCCATGCACACGCATTAAGGCAGCCCATTTAAATGAATGGGCTGTCAACACACTAGAAAATAGCAAAAGTTGGACACGCACTATTTTTTCCTGAGGCAGAGCATCAAAACAGATGATAGTGTGTTACCATGTATTGTGATGAACTGCAATGTATGTGCCTCAGAGATGTGTCGGGGTGTCAATGACACTGAATGACACCGCAACATGGTAATGCAAGTAGCGTGTGTTATTGCACGTTATGTTAACAGGCACACCCTTACCCAGGGAACTGTATTAGAAATGTCTGAATGGGTCTTTATTTATTTTGAAAATCTAATGCTGTTATTACACATGCACAGATATGTATGTAGCAACATTCAGGTTTTCAAAATAAAGACCTGTTATTATTCTATATGTTTGTTATTTGAATTTAAAATATCGCCAAAAGTTTTGCTTGTTTAAGATGCAGTAGGGAATACTTAGAGTAATAAAACAAAAACCTGAACGGGTTTCTATGTCCCACTCCCCATGCGTAAAATTCTGCCTTCCTTCCAGTCCCAGGGACAACATTGTCATCAGGCCTAGAAGTGAGTAGACACCCCCTAACTGAATTGGAGTAGAACATTGTATTACATGGTTGGGGAAAGCGAGAAACTTTGTTAGCTTTAAATTGCGGTGTGTCCCCACTGAAGATTTCCACGTACTTCCTACCACAGTGACAATATTGTCACACGCATAAAAACAAACCACACAGGGATCTTAACTAATCCCTGTTTTATCCCCCAAAAAAGTTTACAAGTTTCAGTTACAGACAAAAACACAAAATCGTACAAACAAACAGCGCTCTTGTAGTGATACTGAGGGGGTAAAAAATGTGTGACCCTAAATAGTGTGCAGCCCTGAAACCCAGGAGGAGTGCCTGTGGATATGCAAACCAAAAACAGAAAACCAAAAGGGCGCAACACTAGGTAGGCTGACTAACCGGGTCGAACGACCCAGGGAAGGAGACAGGGAAAATCATGTGACAATGGATGCAAAGGGCGAAAAACCAATGACAAAGTTTCAGTTACAGGTACACTTTAAAAAAACATAGCATAAAAAGTTACAAAATGATAAAGGATACACTTGATGCTTGAGTAAATGTTTTCTCTTTGATTTCCTCATCTTTGTTTTCTCAGAAAAAGCCCGAGCTATCTCCAACAACTTTTTTCTAGTTGCTAAAAGAAACATATTCATTAGAAATAAAAAATAACAACTACATATCAGTTAAGTTCATTAAATAATTAATGTTTTAGAGACTAAGAATAACATTTTTCATTCAAGTTATCCAGTATTGTAGTCAGATCTGATTAAAGCTTTATTTGAGAACAGGTACACGGATACAATAATTTTTAAAGGAGTTACCATTTGGACAGAGCTGGCCTATGACATATCCTTACTTTGTAAAAAAAGAAAAATTCTACTGAGGAGCCCATTGGTTAAAAAAAACTAAATTGCTGCTCATAGCAATCAAATTCCTGGTTTAATTTTTCCAGAAAAGAAAATCTGGTTGCATCAGAGTCCTTTCTTTAGCCACTCTAAAGGAGTCCTCTACAGGAGGAGTCCTTCCTTTAGTCCTCTATAGCCACTATATCTAGTACATAGAAATTCATGTGTTTCAATTAAATAATTGTTCATCTATAATCACAGGGGTACCAAAATGCTTGATAGGCATTTGGCAGCCAAGCTCCGCCCTTCCAATGGCTCAGGGCCTGTTCACATGATATCAGGTGCGGATCTGCAGACTGATGCAGTGCGTTTTTGCCACGTTTTTGCCGCGTTTTTGATGCGTTCAAGTTTTGCTGGAGTGGGGCTGTTAGTATGTTAGCTGCAGTGCAGTGCGTTTTTGATGCGTTTGACGCGTTTTTGCCGCGTTTTGGACGCGTTTGCGTTTCTTGACCTGACAAAATGTGACATGCAGTATTTTTCTGTCGTAAGCTGAACGGACTGCGCACGTAAGAACTGGAGCCCATAAAACACATAGGGATACATTGGGATGCATTTTGAGTGCAGCAGCGTACGGAGCCGGTCAGCACACAAAACGGACGTCGTGTGAACAGGCCCTCAATCTGAAAGGGAGAACATTTCAGATGGTGTGCAGAGAATGATGGGAAGTCCACGCAAAGAAGGATTACCAGCATAGTTTGGAGAAAGCACTTTAAAAGTGGAAGTAAAGTGTCCTAAGTCAGTCATTTATTTTTCTGTGCACTGAGCCGCACATGCGCAGCTCAGTGTACAGGCATGTCATGGAGAGATGAAGTAACTCACGGGAGTAACATCACACCGCACCAGCAATCAAGAAGTCGACCACGCCTAACCAGGAAGAAGATTGGGGGAAGATGGCAGCGCTGACTGTGACTGCGGGGATAGTGGACAGCGCATCACTGGAGCGGATCATTTACAAAGTAAGTTTTCCCATAAAGTGCTAATATGCATATCGCAATATTATGACAAACACTACTGCAGCACCCTTTTTTTTTTAAACTCACTTAACTTCCACTTTAAGCAGTAACTGAAAAAATACATTTGGTACTTTTAGGTGAATTTTCAGTGATTATACATGTGGGATACAGTGACAATAGTTTAATGAAGTTGCATCTAACATTCACACGATTACATTTATGGGATGCTGAAACATTAGAAAGATAAAAGTCAGCAGAGGAGACAACATTTCCACTGGCTGTACCGCAAATTTCTTACGGTTCTTGAACATTCATGAGACTTTGCATTACAGAGTGTCATTTGTCTCGTATTGATGAAATATTGTGGCACACAGAGACTATTCTTCGTAGAGACCACAGTAAATAAACAGAATGATTTGCTATTTTCATTTCAAACAGCCTCAGATATTAATCTCTTCTAGCTTCTAGGTAACAATTTGTCTGTTGACTGCTGTAAACAAATAATTCAGAGACTTTAGAACAAAAAGTAACTTTCTTTTTTTAGTTTGCCACCGCTGCCATCTTCAGCAGTACAGATACCAGCCAGTGATTACAAGCTGGATAGGATTGTGATGCACGCTGGGAACCTCTGTCCTGACCTCTGAGTAGATTTATATTGTGGAGGAAAAGGCATTAGACAGAATAATAATTCAATATTTCGCTACATATTTGTAATTTAACTTTAATATAAAAGGTTGTTTTTAAAAGGAGAAGTATTGGATAGGTACTCTTTCCAATAGTTAGCACCAACGTGGGACACTGCAGCTGTCACACACCAGCTCTATACTGAGGGCTGAGTGATCACAAACCTCTGATCACTCAGTTCATGGTCTTTGTCCACCACTCCCCGCAGGGATTTCCCCCTCCCCTCACTGTTCCTCCAGTGCTCAATGAAGGGACAAACAGGGTAGGGGGAAGGGCACAGTTAGCCGTGGCTCTAGAGAGGCAGCTGTCACTTAGGTAGCTGGTGTAGATCATGACAATATTCTCAGGATCCTTCCCAGTTCTGTTGTGGCTTTGCATTAGCCCGCTATTTGCTGACTGTGGGTCACAGGAGTACATTAGCAAATGTACTACTATGAACCAAAAAAGAATTAAAGCCTAATGCTAGTTACCTGGCTACCATGTCAACACAAGCTTTGAAAAACTATGGAAATCTGCATACATGTTTGCAGCTGTTTGCATGTAATTGCACACAGAGCAAGGGGCAGATGAGTGGCCCTGGATGCAGACTGTTTCCATCCAAAGCTGCTCATCTGTCCACAACCACAGGTCATCACTCCATGTGTAATTACATGCAAACAGTTGCAGAGCCTGTAATTAATTTGTACAGGCGTCCTTGTTGTGGCTTATCTCAAACACCTGTAATCTCAGCTGCAGAAATTCACTGATATTGGTGGTGTATGGTCCTAATAGGTTGTGTGAATGAAGCCTAAAAGATACCAGCCCAGCCATTTCTATCCCATAGAAATAGGACAAAAATCTTAGGAAAGAGCAAGCAGTAACAATTGTCCTGTACAGGGAGGTAGATGGGGGGAAGGGGAGGAACTGTGTTTAGAACAGAGTAGTAGTGAGTTAAAAATCTCTATAAGCCAATGTTCATGGTTCCTGTAAGTGCATTTTCCATACGGAATAATGTTACCACATAATAGGCATCAATCACCTAGAAACAGCTAAATCCGAAGAATCACAAAATGAAGCAAACAAATGTGAACAAATACTGTCTTCTACGTACAATTCTACGGTCTAACATGAAGGTTGGAGTCGTCATGATATTAATAAGGCAAACAGCGATATGTAGAGTACAGTGACCAATATTTATCTTTCAATGACTACTGTAGTAAACTCAAATGGGATTCAATACCTTATGTTACCCTGCAGTATACCTTACTCTTTACATTTTTTTTTTACATGTGGATGTAAACATACCACTATCAAGACTTCGAATGCAAAATTTGGTTTATAAAATTAGCGTTTAAATATCAAAATGACAAATCGTTTTTATGAAATTACTCCATACTGTACAGCCACATATATCAGTGGCAGTGGAGACATCACAGTAAAAGTAGCTTATAGGGAATTATGTGTGTGTGTGTGTGTGTGTGTGTGTATGTATGTGTATATATATATATATATATAATGCATACTGCTGATAAAAAGGATATTATGTAGCTAATGAGTAACAACTCTGGTGCTATTTTAATCTCAACTGGTCACATGAAATTACACCAATTTAACCTGAGAAAGACACTACCACTTTATAAGGAAAACAAGTTTATGATGTCACATAGCTTTAAAGTAGAACTTTCCCCACAATACTAAAAATCCACGGTGAATGCAGTTCTGCATGTTAATCTAAAAAAAGCTTAAAGTCATTAGTTTAATAAAAGATTAAATATGTTACTTGCAGCTTCCTTAATCCCACTTCCTGGTATATTGAGTCACTGGTGATGGATCCAGAGCCTCACATCTGCGCCCTGGGAAGGCTACATCACCAGTGCTTTCTAGGGAGATCTTATCAGTATACTGCAAGATGTCACCAAATCCAGAGATCTCAGGGAAGAGCCTTTTTTATGTTTGTTTGTTGCTATGGCATCAGTAATATGAGTGTCCAGCATGATGACACTCACAATGTAAACGCCAGGGGCGGACTGGGCCGGGGGGCAGGGTGGCAATTGCCCCCCGGGCCTCTCTGTTGCCTCTAAAAACGGCCCCCGTCGGGCCGGCGCTAACACGCTACTTCAGCGGCCGAGGAGAACAGCTGATCGGGCTCCTCGGCGGCCACGGCAGCTCCCTCCGCCCACTTCTGCTGCTATTGGCTGGGAGGGAGACTGCCCACCTACCATTGGCAGGCTGTGGAGTGCTGCGTGGGACCTGAAGGGAGGAGACACTCGAGGAGGCTGCTGGAACATTCATCGAGGCTGCTGGAGCATTTATCTCTGCTGCTAGAGGATCTATCCCGGCTACTCTGCGCTCTGCATCACACCCCGACCACTGCGCACTGCACCACACCCTGACCTCTATGTCACACCCTAACCTCTACGTCACACCCTGACCACTGCGCTCTGTGTCACACCCTCTGCGTTACACCCTGACCTCTGCGTCACATTCTGACCTCTGCGTCACACCCTGCCCTCTGCGCCACACCCTGACCTCTGCACTCTGTCCCACCCTGACCTCTGCGCCACCCCCTGCCCTCTGCGCCCCACCCTGCCCTCTGCGCCACACCCTGACCTCTGCACTCTGTCCCACCCTGACCTCTGCGCCACCCCCTGCCCTCTGCGCCCCACCCTGCCCTCTGCGCCACACCCTGACCTCTGCACTCTGTCCCACCCTGACCTCTGCGCCACCCCCTGACCTCTGCACTCTGTCCCACCCTGACCTCTGCGTCACACCCTGACCTCTGCATCACACCCTGACCTCTGCACTCTGTCCCACCCTGACCTCTGCGTCACACCCTGACCTCTGCGCCACACCCTGACCTCTGCGCCACACCCTGACCTCTGCGCCACACCCTGACCTCTGCACTCTGTGTCACCCTGCATCACACCCCGACCACTGCACCACCTGACCTCTACGTCACACCCTGACCTCTGCATCACACCCTGTGCTCTGCGTCACACCATGACTTCTGCGCTCTGCGTCACACCCTGACCTCTGCATCACACCCTGTGCTCTGCGTCACACCATGACTTCTGCGCTCTGCGTCACACCCTGACCTCTGCATCACACCCTGT